ACTACTACTACTACTACTACTACTACTACTACTACTACTACTACTGCTACTACTACTACTACTACTACTACTACTACTACTACTACTACTACTACTACTGCTACTGCTACTGCTACTGCTACTTCTTCGAATACTACCGCTGACATGTCCACGACTACATTACTAACTTTTATGGTATAGGTAACGCTGACTGCAATACTGCTAGTACCATTAACGTCAATGACTATGCAACTGTTAGCAATGCGCTTAATTCGGACCTCAGAAAGTTACTACCATTACCGTACATAGACACGTATTGGGGCAGCCACCTCTACAACGAATAATACTAATAGAAATTGCGGTGAGTGATTGTATCACCAATAGCACGAGCAATACCCCGAAAGACACGACGGGCGCGCATGCAAAGGGAAAAGCACCAGACGGCAGTATTTTAAGCAAACATGCCTACTGAAATTAATCAGTAGGCCTTTATTTTTAATGTCGCAACACTCCGATTCGCGGCGAATCGGAGTGTTGCGACACCGGTATCCAGCCTACTTGGCTTCTTTCGAATGTCGCCATATGTGTTTCGAACCTGAAAGACTTCCCCAGGCTGTGGTTTTTCAAGGCAAACCTACGACTGAATGTGCCATTACCAAGGACTTAGGTTTAAACTACACCAAAACTCTAGATCTCTCGCCACACACCGACGGAATTACGGCCAAAACTACTCGGATTTTTGACTTTATTTTACATAATTTCTGTCCTCCTGAAATCAAATAAAAACTTTATAGAATGTTCATACTTCCCACACTTGGGTATTAATGTCCATTCTTCAATTCGATGAGCAAGGCTAATCGTTTAAATATTGAAAACATGCAAAGGCATTTTACCAAGAGATTCTTAAGTATGACAAATACAAATACTTCCTACTCAAGTAGATGCCAGCTAACTAGCATAAAATTTCTGTGGGTTCGGAGATTACAAACAGACCTTTGTCTACTTTTTCGGATTTATAATGTTCCCCAGCATCCAATCATCACCCCAATTAGTCGTTTATACAGTCTTCGTGATTTTTCCTTGATTATACCTCTTCCTGTTTCCTCCGCCTCTAAGCGCTCCCCTTTTTTCTCCTCCAGACGTACTTTGCAATTGAATGACCCCACAATAGATGTAAGATCATCAGATAATCTACATAATTTTAGGGCAAGACCGTGCCTTTATTTGAATACTGATTCAATTAAAATCTTATGTTCGCCGTCCTTTGCGGACAACTCTCTCTGTGACAGTGATCCTGAATTTAGGATTCCACCACCAAAATACCGTACACGCTCACGCTTCCTTCCCCGAGTGTGGTTTCGCTTTTTGGGACCATTAAGCAGAAATCTCGACGTTATCGATTTTTCAATCCTTACACCATGTCCTCTGCAGAACGCGATGTCCCCTGTTATGAGTCGCCTGATACTCGGAAGCCCGTGGGACGTATAATAAATCGACCCTTGCCCCCACAGTAATAATAATATTAATAATAATAATTTTTACACAAGACCCGTGAGGGTCCGTTCATACAAGTAAAAATAACCTTTACGTGAGTTTTAGACTGTTAGGACAGGTTTACAAAATATATACAATGCTTAATTTGTAGTTAGGGAACAAGTAGTATATTGCGAAGAATGATGAACGAGCAGTGAAAAAACTCCTAACATATAAAGAAAATGAGTATGACTGGATTAACACTATAGGAGAAAAACTCTCGCACCTAAATGTATAAAAAGCAGGCAGGACCGGCCTGTATGTGACAGTATATAACGGATTTCATGAAGGGGTAAAAAGGCGGTTCACGCAGGACTGTCCTTTATGTGTTATTGAGTAAAAGGTTCGAAACGGACATCCTCAAGGCAGAATTAACATGATGGATGAGGCCATTCATGTCAAAGTGGCGAATAGAAAACCAGCCTCGAGGCGATAGGAACCCAGATGCGATCGCTGACAGTCAACTTCGAGTCCAGCCGAGGACGGGGCAAGGGAGATACGACCAGATAACTGGTGTGTGACAAATACAGAGGGTTCCGTCAAGAGCGTAGATAGAGTGCATTTGGTGAGGGGCAAGATTCATGAACTGAAAAATCGAAAAATTAACATTTCTGATGAGGGATCCTAGAAAGCGATATTACACCCAAATGAAGGAAATTTGAGCGGATACGAAAAGTTAATGACAGCGTCCTAAAGACCCCGTTGAACTTTCTCGATGTCATAGAGAAAGTTATCCAAAAAGGTTGAGAAAAATAAAAGTTTAATCGAGTCACTATTCAGATAAAGGCGCGGCCTTCTCTTAAAAGTGTGTAGATTATCTGAAGATCTGATATTTATTGGAAGGTTATTTCAGTGAAAGTATACCCGACAGCGAAAAAAGAGAGCGCTCTGAGGTGGAGGAAGCTGAATGAGGTATGATCAGGGAGGAGTTGCGAAGATTGTATGGGCGACTACTAGTGGTAGGTGCTGAAATCCGAGGAAGATTTGAACTTTTGTTAATGTGAAAGCGGAGACAGAGGGCTGCATCTAGTCTTCGAACCCATAAAAATTTTAGGTTAGTTAGATGGCATCTATCTGAGTAGGAGATATTTGGGTGTTCTGTATCTACGAGTCTTCTAGAAAAACGTCCTTGAAAATTGTCAATTTTTGAATGACTAGCATCGGTTATCAAACTAAAGATTGTGCGACAATACTCGAGAATGAGAAGTACGAACAGATGATAGGGTCTTAATTTAATTTCGGGAAGATACAAATAGTAAAAAATAAAGCCACAAATCTGG